AACAAAATTAATATACCCTTGTGCACAAGTGCGCTCGGGTATAAAAAAAAAACAATTGAACTTTATCATACATCTACAGGTGAAAGTCTTTAATTTAACTTATAATTTTTGAAATTCCTTTTCAAAAGTATTCTCAAACTAAAATCTTCTTAAATCTTTTTCGTGATTGTGATACACATGTATTTCAATAAACTGATGAACTAATTTGAATTTGATTGTTCGAAAACATGGCAACCCTCCTAAATAATGGCCAGAAATGAAGCATTTTCAAACCCATTCCGATTGATCCCCATCTTTTAATAATTCATTCAACTTATTGAATAATTTGAATTTAACTTTTTAAACACGTGGCAACCCTCTTCAAGCATTCCAAAAGTTAAAACTAAAGATTTCTTAACATTTTTCTGTTTGACTATTTTTTTATTTCATATAACTTTTGTATTAGTTAATTTACTTAGACCTTTCAAACATGTAGCAGCCCTCCTCAAGCTTAATCCTCGTTAACCCTCCTTCGACATTGCGATATATATTTTAATTAACTTATTAATTAGTAGAATTTGATTTTTCAAACATGTGGCAACCCCGCTAAATACAGTTCAGAAATAAAAAAAATTCATACCCCTTTCGATTGATACCCATATTTTAATAATTCATTTAACTTGTTAAATAATTTGAATTTAACTTTTTAAACATGTGGTAATCCTATTCCAACAAAAACATTCTTATCGTTCAAACTAACGATTTCTTATAACTCCTTCGTTTGACATTCATATTTTGATATTTCATAAAACTTGTGTATAGGTAAACTAAATTCGATATTTCAATCATGTGGCAACACTCTTTGAAATATTTTCATACTACTACTTTCAGAAACCCCTTTCGTTTGGCACCCATATAGTGACACATATTTCCCTTACCTAATTAACTCAATTCAAATTGAATTTGATTTTTTGAACAGGTGGCAACTCTCCTATAGTTCAGTTAAGAAACAAAGCTTTTCAAACCCATTTTTATTGATACACAGTTTGTAATAAATGATTTATTTTTTAAATAGTTTGAATATCAGTTTTAAAGGGTGGCAACTCTTTTCAAAACAGTAAGACATTATAGCACATCTGCAGTCCTCGACTTTTAATTTGCAGATCTTTTATCCTGCACAAAAAATGCTTTCGCATATATATATAGATATTCGATTCATCGATATGTAGACTCGAGTTATAAGATAACAAGTTGAGTTTCCAGGGGAACGCTTTTGACTCAGTTCGCAGTGTTTCAAAACGGTTGCATAAACCCAGTTTCAATACGCTTTGAAATTCAGAAGTGTATTGTTTTTCATCTTTTCTCAAATCGGTTATTTATTTCTCACATCGCATATTGTTTCGACTATATGAAGGAAGGTGGAAAAAGTCATGGTGTCAGTTGATAAAAAAAAACAGTCGGGCTTAGAGAGGGAAAAGTAGAAGTCATACTTACGAGATTTCAAATAATTTACTCACTTCCCTCTCATCTAACGGTACATTTCCAAAAAAAAAATACTAAAATCGGCGCGAGACCGACTAATCGGTTTAATTGCCTTTGGCGCTGAAACCATCAAAGAAAGTTTTTCTTTTTCAGCTGTAATGAATTCTTTAAGTGTCTTGGAATATTCAAGTGTAGGTATTTATCATTTATTTAGTTTTTTACTAGTTTACTTATCAAAAAAGATTATTAGAAAAAAAGTGTGAGTACCGGTTCTTCAGCTTTTGACATCAGACGCATGTTTTAGAGAATTTTATGTATTTTTTTAATATATAATTTTAATAATTGTATTGCGTAATTTGGCAGAACTAATTTTTCATTTAATTACTGGGCCCACATTTTTTGCGAGTTGTAGACATTATAGTGATCCAATCTTCCCTATATTTTATATTTAGGGTTTTCTGGTAAAGCAGAGAGCACAAACTAAAAATCATCGAAATCGGATGAAATTTAATGTGCCCGCTCAAAAGATTGGAGTGCGTGGCAATTATCCCATCTTTACGAAATTTCCTAACTTGCTCTTAATAAGTAAAATTAGAGCAACTGTCAAGTTTCAGCGAAATCGGTGCAGGTTAACTATTATTTCCACCTGCCTCCATATAGTCGAAAGACTGTGAATCGGTTAGACAACATGTATAAACGCTTGACTAATGATGACAGCGATTAATCATTTGATTAAATTAATCGATTATTTTTGTCCAATTTACGATTCAATTGTATAGTAGTTTTGTGTTTTATGAATCGATTATTAATCGATTAATTTCAAAACGATCGTAAAATTATTAACTTTACTCGACCCGAGGTTCGAAAACATTCATTTCAAAAATCCGTTGGCATTGGCCTCAGTACTGCGAGCTTAAATAATATACGCAGATGATCTCATGGTAGCAAGTCGCCACTTGAATCAATAGAAAATGAGTTCACAAAACCACGAATGAGTATACAAAAACGAAGGCGAAAAGATGACGACTTGGGTCACTCACAAGATGAAATGAGCTTTTATTTAAATTATAAAGGTCTAGAACTGAATCGGAATATCATTGAAGCTTAGGAGGAAGTGAAAACTGTTTAGCTGGTACCTCGGTGCCTGCTGATCGCCTTTTTTCAAAATCTGGTGCTACAGCCATCTAGAAACGCAACCGATTAACAATAAAACATTTACCAACAAGGCTTTTGTTTTTACAAACTTGGTTAAACAATTAACGCCGCTTAAAATATCCGTTTTATTTTATTTACGACTAATTAACAAGTGAAATTGCAAATCTTTTGTGGAAACGTGTTTTTGTGAAAACTCACTGTAAAGAGTGCCTTTAAAAACTCCATAATTCGATTATTTCTTAATAATTGCAATAATTTGCAATTCATTTTTGTTTTTGCTTGTGATTAATCAAATCGGTTGGTTTTCTTTATAAAGCCCGTTTTAAATTTGAATTATTATTTTAATAAATTTTAATCATTGTACGCTTTCATTTCGGTCAACAAATTAATTATGAAAGAAATAACGAAGAAAATCAGCAAATTTTGTTTACTTTTGAAAACGGTATCATCCAGTACGCTAAAAAGACACAGATGTAAACGCTCGAAAGAAATATGCGTTGAATGAAAACGATTTTTAGTTAATGCAGTTCTTTCGTAAGTGTTAACGTGGTAATAGAAGATTTTGAATGTTTTATAAATCGAAAATTTTTTTGAAAAGCTCTTTAAATCTATTTTATTTTCCATGAATAAGCCCATACGAGTTTTTTTGGATGTACGATGTGGTTAGTGTAGTATATCAATCGTGGAATAAAAGTCGATGCATACTGTGCTAAGGTAGCGAATAGAATGTCTTTATTTTACGAAACTTCAATGTATTCACTTCTTAAAGTAACCTCTTTTATTTAAGGTGCCAACAGACTAACAATAATAGTATGTAGCAATATAATGTGTGTTATAAACTATGATACTCTACAGTTAGAAGGAGTAATAACACAAAAAATACTTTGCAGGCGCAACGCAGCACGTCGGACATTTGATAATACATGTGGAGTAAATTTTTTCTTGATTAAACTTTTTTTTTTAAGTTCGACTTTCGAACGCGTATCTAGTAAAGCTTCCTCAAACACTTTTCATTCGGTACTCTTTTTGTGATATTTCAGTTAACTTCCCATATATATCCATATTTTTATCTTATTCCTATCGAAAGATTTACGATTTTGTACGTCGACACTCCCAAATCGTACAACGTGCCTTTAAAAATCTGCCTTTTAATCAAAAAATTCTTTATTGAAACTATTTTCTTTTTTGTATCATGCATTGCTATGTTTTTACTTTTGAATGGAAAGGAATACATATATCTCTTAAAGGCAACCTTACTCTGCCGATTTTTTAAATTTACAAACTTTGAGAAAAGCCTTCACTGTTTACTTACTTATTTAAGAAGTAAAGCGAATGTCACCCAACCCAATGTTGCGCTTTATAATACGATATTATCAGCATACTTAAGTATATGTATGTATATATGAATGTACGTATTCAAACAAAAGCCATTGAGTGAGTTCTAAGCTGCCATAAGGATTCGTAGATAGTAAAAGGTGTAATGCATAGTATTTCGGCTCAGATTGCGCTATCCTTTGCTGCAACACTTTTAAAAAGATCAAATATCTGAAGCTAATTTTATTAATCCCAAAGCTCACCTGTCTATGAAAACAGACTATAAAATATACATACACATGTATACCACACACACTTGGTGGCAACTAGCAAGCAGACATAATCGGCTGTTGTAACAATTTAAAACAATTTGAGATACCATGAAATCACATAGCTTGCAAATTATAAGGAAAATCTAAATATATGCGTACACAAGTGCCACATGCATATATTACAGCTAAAAGTACCTATCGTTTTGGAAGAAAATGAAAATGTTATTCATTTTAGGGGCCGACCGCAATTACATCAATGTTAGAATGGCAACAACAATAAATTTTTCAAAGGCGGACACATGTTGTTTGCAATTTTTGTTATTATTGTACGCTTGTTGTTGTCTATGTATACTGCGCACGTTTATTTTATAATAGGGTAAACACTTGGTTTACTCGATTAGGGAATTTTGGAAGCCCAAAGGATGCCAAGGAACGTACGCTAAAACAACTTTATGTAAGTAAATATGAAGTAGTGAACAAGAACGTGCAACTAGCCAAGTATTTGCGCACATTCATATGTACATATGCATGTACGTATGTGATTGTTGCAACCGCACGCACAACGTGCCACAGATAGGAACTAATGCGATGACAACCATTGTGTCGACACACCAAACACTCCAACAACTG